ATTCAGTTCAGAATCTGCCCTTCTTGCTGGTTTCCCAGAGAATTCCTTGGATTATTGTTTGCTCTTTCAGAAAATGAGAAATTCATAGTAAGCTTTTTTTTTTTTTTGTCGGTCATGGGGCCTGAACTCTGGGCCTGGGCACTGTCCCTCAGCTCTTCAACTGTAGACTAGCACTCTACCACTTGAGCCTCAGCCCCACTTCCGGCTTGTTCTGCTTATGTGGTGCTGAGGAATCGAACCCAGGGCCTCATGCATGCAAGGGAAGTGCTCTACCACTGAGCCACCTTCCCAGCCCCCATAGTAAGCTTTAATATTGAGTCTTTTGGGCTAGGAACATGGCTTAGTCTGGTGCTCTACCACTTGAGATACAGAAAGGTTCAATGAGAAATTTAACTTTGAGAGTGAATTTAGGGCCTTGAACTTTCTTTTTCTTTCTTTTTTTTTTTTATGGGCTGGTCCTGGGACTTGAACTCAGTGCCTAAGTGGCTATCCCCTTACCTTTTGGGCTCAAGGCCACTTAAGCCAGAGCTCCACTTTTCAGTTTTTTAGTTAATTGGAGTCTCATGAACTTCCCTGCTCTGGCATTTCCAGCTACTTTTTTTTTTTTTTTTTTGGTCAGTCGTGGGGCTTGAACTCTGGCCCTGGGAGCTGTCCCTCAGCTCTTCAGCTCAAGGCTAGGGCTCTACCATTCGAGTCACAGCACCACTTCTGGTTTTCTGGTGGTTAATTGGAGATAAGAGTCTCATGGACTTTCCTGCCCAGACTGGCTTTGACTGCGATCCTCAGATCTCAGCCTCTTGAGTAGCTAGGATTATAGGCGTGAACCACCAATGCCGAGCTACCAGCTACTTTTGGTGCTGGTAATTTTCGAGATGGGGCCTCACTTTATACTAGGGATGGCCTGTGGCCTGTAATGCTCCTACTTGTGCTTCCCATGTCACTGGGGATGGCAGGCATGCCCCCACTGCACCCAGCTAGAGTGCTTCCCCTGTAATTGGAACAAGAACATGAGCTAGTCAGCGGCAAAGCACTTGCTTAGCAAGTACAACGACCTGGGCTTGATCCCTGGTACTGAAAAAGAAAAGACAAAAAAATTACAGTTTTTTAATAAAGCCCAAACAAACAAACAAAAAAAACCCCATAAGCCTTTCTCAGGTACCAATGGCTCATGCCTATAATCTTAGCTACTCAGGAGGCTGAAATCTGAGAATTACAGTTCAAAGCCAGCCTGGGCAGGAAAGTGTAGGACCCTTACCTCCAATTAACCATCAGAAGACCGGAAGTGGTGCTGTGGCTCAAGTTGTAGAGCACTAGCATAGAGCTGAAGAGTTCAGGGACAACGCCCAGGCCAAGTTCAAGCCCTGCGACCGACAAAGAATGTCCAGCCATTTGGTTGAGATGAAGTTTCACAAACAACTTCTTTTTCTCTTCCTCCTCCTCCATCTCCTCCTCCTTCTTTGCTAGGACTAGCCTCAAATCTATCTCCCAGGTATCATGAAATATATAAGGTCAATTAACACTCATATTCTAGGGAGATGCACATAATGAGTTGTGGTACCATAGAAGTTATGACTATCTCACTTGAAGAGATATGAACCTAATAAAATCTCCTTTCCCCACCCTCTCAAGTAAGGGTAGGTAGGGCCAAGTAAGCACTGGTGTCAGTTCTTCCCATGCTGTACCCTAAGCTGACAGTGTATGACAGTATGCAAGGTACTAAAAGGGAGGATGATTCTCCAACTGAAGAGAAAAAGCAAGACAGCATGATTTCTACAGAGTCACCCAGTAAATGTACAACAAGTATTTGAACAGAAGTCTCAGGACTCCAGGGCCTGTTTTAGAAGTTATTGTTTGTTTGTTTGTTTGCTTTGCCAGTTCTGGGGCTTGAACTCTGGGCCTGGGCACTGTCCCTGAGCTTCTTTTGCTCAAGGCTAGTACTCTACCACTTGAGCCATAGTGCCACTTCTGGCTTTTTTTGTGTATGTGGTACTGAGGAATCGAACCCAGGGCTTCATGCATGCTAGGCAAACACTCTACCACTAAGCCACATTCCCAGGCCATGTCTTTGAAGTTTTATCGACCAGAAACCTCCATTGTTCTCACCTCTTCTTAGACTGGTCTTAGATGAACAGCTCTAGTTATATTGTGTCCTAAATAAGTCATGTGGGTTTAGGCAGGCTTCTCCGAGCTCATCTGAAATCAGAGCCAAAATCAGCTGATATTCATCTGTATAGTCCCAGCTACCTGAGAGGCTGAGGCAGCAGGATCTATATCTAGATCAGTAATCATGGCACTCAGTGTATGGCTTGATGAGTGTGTTCTGAGTAAAATGTGGCAGAAGCCTGGGGACTGGAGAGGACAAAACACTGGGAGGGCTTCCCTGAAGAGGTGACATTTGAGCTGAGCTTTGAAGGTAGAGTGAAGAGTTCAGCAAGTGGACTAAAGAGTCCCAAATACAAAGGTGTGAGATAAGCCAATAGTGTGAGGGTGTTTAGGAAAGGCAAAGGACAGGCTGTGTGAACAGGTGCATGTGTGCCTGTGCCTCTGTGTGTGTGTGTGTATGTGTATGTGTGTGTGTCTGTCTGTATGTCTGTCTGTCTGTGTATATGTGTGTACAGCAGGAAGGACTGGAGGTTGATCGAAGATATGGTAAATGTATCACACTAGGACCAATGCTTTCCAAGAAGTTCCAAGGTACTGCAGGGAGGCCTAGGAGCTTCAGAGGGGAGTCCCCACTCTGCCTGTTGCAAAACAGATCCACTCTTATCTGCTGTGTCTATGGATTCTACTTTTCTGATTTTTGTTTTGTTTTGTTTTTTGTCGGTCGTGGGACCTGAACTCTGGGCCTGGGTGCTGTCCCTCAGCTCTTCAGCTCAAGGCTAGAGCTCTACCACTTGTGCCACAGCACCACTTCCAGCTTTTTCTGCTTATGTGGTGCTGAGGAATTGAACACAGGGTCTCATGCATGCAAGGCAAGCACTCTACCACTGAGCCACCTTCCCAGCCCATACTTTCCTGTTTTTGTTTTGTTTATCATTTTGGTGATATTCGGGTTTGCACTCAGGGCTTTATGATTTCACTTAGCTTTATACTCAGGCTGAGTTCTCTACCACTTGAACTATACCTCCACGTTCAACTTGTTGTTGGTTAATTAGAGACAAGAGTCTCCTGGCAATATCTGCTGGTCTGGCAGATCTCAGCTCTCAGCCTGTTTTTTGTTTTTTTTTTAAATTTTTTTATTGTAAAGCTACTATACAGAGGGTTACAGTTACATGAGCAAGGTAATGAGTACGTTTCCTATTGAGCATTGTTACCCCCTCCATTGTTTTCCCCCTACCATCCCTTCCCTCCCTACCTTCCCCGAAGTTTTTTTGTTTTTGTTTTGTTTTGTTTTTTTGTCTGTCATGGGACTTGAACCCTGGGCCTGAGCACTATCCCTCAGCTCTTTAGCCCAAGGCTACCACTTGAGCCACAACACCATTTCTGGTTTTCTATTGGTTTACTGGAGATAAGAGTTTCACAGCGTTTCTTGCCCATGCTGGCTTTGAACTGCGATCATCAGATCTCAGCTGCCTGCATAGCTAGGATTACAGGCGTGAGCCACCAGCTCTAGGCTGGGTTCTGCTTCTTAATTTTGTCTGACAAAAAGTTTCCACTGCTAAAATAGGCACACACACACAAATTACTACCAACAAGACCACTTAAGGTTTTTCTGTTAGTGAGAAGCAAAATCCTGTTAAGAAGGAACCCTCAGCCAGGCGTCAGTGGCTCATGCCTGTAATCCTAGCTACTCAAGAGGCTGAGATCTGAGGATCCCGGTTCAAAGCCAGCCCAGGCAGAAAATTCCCCATGAGACTCTTATCTCCAATTAACCACTCAAAAACTGGAAGTGGCACCATGGCTCAAGTGGTAGAGCACTAGCCTTGAACACAAAGAGGCTCAGGACAGCACCCAGGGCCCTGAGTTCAAGCACCACAACTGGCAAAAAAAAAAAAAAAGCAGGAACCCTCTGAATGTGACTGTGTGAATGCAGATGTGGGTGTGGGTAGAGAACAGAGACCAGAGTCTGACTCAGCTGCTCTGGCTGGACAGAGGCTGGAGAGAGAGTCATGATTAGGAGCAGGAGACAGAATCTTTTCTAGCAGGGGAGAATCCCATCAAAATAGAGCTCTCCCAGGGAACCCCTGGCTCAAGCTGAGATCATAGTTCTGGGGCAAGAAAGTCTGTGAGACTATTATCTCCAATTAACTACTAAAAAAGCTGAAATGCTAGCTTTGAGCACAAAAGCTCAAGGACAGCCAGCCAGGCCCTGGTAGCTTACACATATAATCTTATATAATCTTAGCTACTCTGAGGGCAGAGATCTGAGGATCAAGGTTCCAAGCCAACTTGGGTGGGAAAGTCCGTGGTACTCTAATCTCCAATAAACTGTTCAGAAAAAGCCAGAAGTGGTGCTGTGGTTCAAGTGGTGGAGCACTAGTCTTGAACACAAAAGGCCCAGGCCAAGTCCTAGGACTGGAGAAAAAAAAAGGCTCAGGGACAACTCCCAAGCCTTAAATTCAAGTCCCAGCACTGACACACATACAAACACACACACACACACACACACATACACACGGGTCTCCCTCTAAGAGCTTGTTGAAATGTTTGTGATCTCTATGAGGTGGTTCCCCAATCCGAACCCATAGGGGGTAGGGAGGCAGGAAGTGGGTAACTATACTAACAAAGGTGCCAGTGGCGGTTTGCCCATCCCAGGTGGGAGGGTGGGGCCTAGGGGGTTGGTCTAGGCCTGGTGTGAATTTACATGTGATAGAGGGAACACTAGTCAAGGGCTAGGATTCCCCCATTTCAGCAACTCTGTGGCTGGTGAATGGGGGCCTCTGAGCTGATAGTCTCTAGGAACTTTGGAAAGTCCCAGGGCCAGGCCCTAGGATGTCTTCTGATGTTGGTGAGTCACGGTTCTAGAGGGAGCTTCTTCAGCCCCCTCTCTGTTCCCTCAGGGACCATGGGCTGTAGCTGCAGCTCAAACCCTGAAGATGACTGGATGGAAAACATTGATGTGTGTGAGAACTGCCATTATCCCATAGTGCCACTGGACATCAAGACCACGGTAAGAGGCAAGATTGGCGGGGTGAGAGCCAGGTGGGTGTGCACCCTAGGGAAAGAAATGAGCCACTGCTATAAACCCTTGAATACAGAGCAGCCCCTCTTTCTCTGGAATGTAGTGACAGAGGAAAAGTCACTCTCCTAAGGTCACATAGCAAGTACAAATATAGTTGGCCAATTCAGCCAGATTGGAGAAAAGGAGTGAAGGCAGAAGAGCGGGGAAACAGGGTCTCATCAATCTTCTTTCTTGGACCCCATTTTCATCCCCTACTCCACAGCTGCCCCTCAGGAATGGCTCTGAAGTTCGGGACCCACTGGTCACCTATGAAGGCTCGAATCCACCAGCTTCTCCACTGCAAGGTGACTCCAGACAGCATAAGGGTGTGGATCCCTGGCTGCTGGCCGTGTCTCCCTGTCTCCCTCATCTACTCTCTACCCTGTCCTGCCTTTCTTGATCCCAATCTTGTCTCCGGTCCTGTGATTCCAGAACGTCTCCATCCTCCCTGCCAACCCCAAGCCATTTCTCCTTGACACTCCCTGTCTTTACAGACAACCTGGTCATCGCTCTGCACAGCTATGAGCCCTCCCACGACGGAGACCTGGGCTTCGAGCAGGGCGAACAGCTGCGCATCTTAGAGCAGTGAGTGATCTTTTACCCACTCACCCTGCGAGGGGCCGGGCCCGGCTCTCTCGGCCCTCCTGCAGCCCTTGGCTGATGGCCCTGAGCTTGGGATAAGGGCTTTGGGGTCAGAATGGGAGGCTCCAGAGTGCTGATGGGGGACGGGGTGGGACTGGGGTTCCCTGAGAGACGCCCTGCCGATCGCCTCCATGACTCCACCATCAGGAGCGGCGAATGGTGGAAGGCGCAGTCCCTGACCACCGGCCGGGAAGGTTTCATCCCCTTCAACTTCGTGGCCAAAGCCAACAGCTTGGAGCCTGAGCCGTGAGTGGGGCCCCGTCGTGGGGGTGCGTGGGGAGCCTGTGCAAGGTAGGAGTGGCCCTGTGATTGATTGCCTGAGGGGGATGGAAGAGGGACCGGTCCAAAGCCCATGCATTCCCTTCTGCCCTGCGCAGCTGGTTCTTCAAGAACCTGGGCCGCAAGGACGCAGAGCGGCAGCTTCTGGCGCCTGGGAACACGCACGGCTCCTTCCTGATCCGGGAGAGCGAGAGCACCGCGGGTGAGCGGCTGGGCGGGGCTCTGCGGGGCGGGGCTTCTGGTCTGTGGGCGGGGTCGCAGTGGGCGGGGTCTCGGTGGGGGCGGATACGATCCCAGTCTGACTACTGCACTGGGCGAAGAGATGCTGGAGGGTTGAGCCCCTGTTAAAGGCAGGTGGTGGCAGCTGTGACTCACAGAGACCACCTCTTCCTCTCTTTTGCGTTTGATCGTTCATTCATCCGTCCATCCATTCTCTTGTTCAGGATCCTTTTCACTGTCAGTCCGGGATTTCGACCAGAACCAGGGAGAGGTGGTGAAACATTACAAGATCCGTAACCTGGACAATGGCGGCTTCTACATCTCCCCTCGCATCACTTTTACCGGCCTGCATGAACTGGTCCGCCATTACACCAGTGAGCCCTGGCAGGAACCCCTTAACTCTGTCCTGTCAGCTTGTCACCCATTAGTCATTCTCAGGGGTGCCCTCCCATCATCTTCCAGGGTACGTCTTCATTACCCGCAGGGGGTAAGGTGCAGTACCCGATCCTACAGCCCCAGACGTCAGATGACAGACCCATCAATCTATTTTCACCAGGATGAGATCTTGGAAAGGATCTTGGGGCACGGGGGGAGGGGGCAGCCTCACATATTGACAGCCCTCTCCTCTCCTCGGTCCTCACAGATGCTTCTGACGGGCTGTGCACGCGGTTGAGCCGTCCCTGTCAGACCCAGAAGCCCCAGAAACCATGGTGGGAGGACGAGTGGGAGGTTCCCAGGGAGAGTCTGAAGCTGGTGGAGCGACTGGGGGCTGGCCAGTTCGGGGAGGTGTGGATGGGTGAGTGTGGCCTTCCAGGACGGCTGGGAAAGAGGGGAGGATATGCCCACCAAGATAGTGTCTGACACAGTGCCCAGTGGCCTACCAAGGGCCTGGGCTCTGCAGCTTCTGCAATCCCTCCTGCCCTCACCCAGGGTACTACAATGGGCACACGAAGGTGGCAGTGAAGAGCCTGAAGCAAGGCAGCATGTCACCCGATGCCTTCCTGGCCGAGGCCAACCTCATGAAGCAGCTACAGCACCAGCGCCTGGTCAGGCTGTATGCAGTGGTCACCCAGGAGCCCATCTACATCATCACGGAATACATGGAGAATGGTAGGTGCTACAGCCATTCTTGGCCGCTCGGGGTCGCTGTTGTCTCTTTCCTCTGGACTCTGGGTCTCTAGAGAAGCTTTCCTGGGTTTCTAAGATTCATCTCCAGAGGAGAGAAAATGAAGTGGTATGAGTCTGGTAGAGAACCTCGCCTAAGGTGTCAGGAGAACATTTGCCCTGATTTTCTCTGACCTGCGGTTCCTTTTGCTTTCTTCCAAGACCTATCTGATCTCAGGATGCTTGATCTCAGAAAATGAGGGATTTCTAGCCCCATTTCTCTTCCCTCTGCCTTGAGCATTGGCAGGGAAAATTTGCCCCAAAGACTCTTTTTTAATTCTGGGTGAACCCTCTCCACTTACTTGGACATCTTCTGGGCAGAGTGAGAATCCCAATAATAAGATAGACACATAGGCTATGCACCAGTGCCTCCGGCCTATAATATTAGGTACTCAAGAGGCTGAGATTAGAGGATCATGGTTCAAAGCCAGCCCAGCCAGACAAATCCAAGGGACTCTCCAATTAACCAGCAAAAATTTGAAAGTGGAGGTGTGGCTTAAGTATTAGAGTACTAGCTTTAAAAAAAAATTTTTTTTTTTTTTGGTTAGTTGTAGGGCTTGAACTCAGGGCCTGGGCCACTATCCTTGAGCACTTTTTTTGCTCAAGGCTAGTGCTCTACCACTTTGAGCCACAGCAGTACTTCTGGTTTTCGGGTGGTTAACTGGAGATAAGAGTGTCACAGACTATCTTGCCTAGGCTGGCTTTGAACCATGATACTCTGGTCACAACCTCCTGAGTAGCTAGGAATAAGGTATGAGCCACCAGTGCCCAGCTAGAGCACCAGCTTTGAGTGGAAAAAGAATATAAGCAAGAGTGGGAGGCCCTGAGTTCAAGCTCCAATATTATTACTAAAAAAGCAAAAGAAAAAAAGAGGAGGGGGCTGGGAATGTGGCTTAGTGGTAAAGTGCATAAAGCACTGGGTTCAATTCCTCACATACACAGAAAAAGCCAGAAGAGGCACTGTGGCTCAAGTGGTAGAGTGTTAGCCTTGAGCAAAAGAAGCTCAGGGACAGTGCCTAGCCCTTGAGTTCAAGTCCCAGGACTGGAAAAAATATGTGTGTGTGTGTGTGTGTGTGTGTGTGTGTGTGTGTGTGTGTGTGTGTTTCTAGACTCAGCTTTAATCACACTGATTTGCTGGATACAATATGAACTATATCTAATACTAATTTCCCTAAGAACAACAACAGAAATCTAAAGGGCTCATCCTGAAATAATATAGTATATCCATCTAGAGCCCTAGAGTCTGACTGCTTGGTGAGAGTTATGGATTTGGGTTAATCACATTGCTTCTTCTGCCATGGTTTTCTTACCTGCAAAATGCTGGTGCAAATCGAATAGCAACTTCCTTGATGGGGCTTTGTAAGGATGAATTAGGACAGTACTGACCCTAAATTTGTCCTAATCTGGCTCATTTGATAACAAGCTGTTTAATTGGCTAGTGGGATATGGAAATTTCAAATAGGTTTTATCATGGGTGCCAATTTCTTTTTTGTGTGCTCTACCACTTAAGCTACAGTTCCACTTCTGACTTTTTTTTTGTAATAAATTGGTGATAAGAATCACACAAACTTTCCTGCCCAGGCTGGCTTTGAACTAGCATCCTCAGAGCTGAGCTTCTTGAATAGCTAGGGTTACAGGTGTGAGCCACCAGCCCTCCACTATGGGTACCAATTTCTTTGTAGTGCTAGGTTGGGAAAGATTCTGAGGTTCATTGGAAGTTCATTGGAATTGATAGGGATATCTGCAGTTAATCAAGTGGTAGTATATGGACACAAATTTGATGTGTCTGAATGTGTGTGTGTGTATGCGCGTGCGCGCTAGTGCTTGTGTGCTGGTTCTGAAGCATTTTTGTTGTGGTTGTTGGTCCTGGGCCTTGAAATCGGGGCCTGGTCACTGTCCCTGAGCTCTTTTTTTTTTTTTTTTTTTTTGTTGGTCGTGGGGCTTGAACTCTGGGCCTGGCCGCTGTCCCTCAGCTCTTCAGCTCAAGGCGAGTGCTCTACCACTTGAGCTACAGCGCCACTTCCGGTTTTTCTGATGGTTTATTGGAGATAGGAGTCTCACGGTCTCTCCTGCCCGGGCTGGCTTTGAACCGCGATCCTCAGATCTCAGCCTCCTGAGTAGCTAGGATTACAGGCGTGAGCCACCAGCGCCCGGCTCCCTGAGCTCTTTTTTCTCAAAGCTAGCACTCTGCCACTTTGAGCCACAGTACCACGAACAGTTTTCTGGTGGTTAATTGGAGATAAGAGTCTCACATCACAGGTTTTTCTGCCTGGACTGGCTTTGAATGATGATCCGTAGATCTCAGCCTCCTAAGTAGTTAAGATTATAGGTATTTGGCGCTGGGAAGGTGGCTCAGTGGTAGAGTGCTTGCCATGCATGCATGAGGCTCTGGGTTTGATTCTTCAGCACCACACAAGCAGAAAAAGCCGAAAGTGGGGCTGAGGCTCAAGTGGTAGAGCACTGGTCTACAGCTGAAGAGCTGGGGGACAGCACCCAGGACCAGAGTTCAGGCCTCACAACCAACAACAACAACAAAAAAGATTATAGGTATGAGCCACCAGCACCTGTCTAGTTCTGAAGCTTGAACTCAAGGCCTTACACTCTTGCTTTGTTCATGGCTGGAGCTTTACCTCTCAGGCCAAATCTCTATTTCTGGCTTTTTTTTTTCTGGTTAATTGGAAGTAAGAATCTCATGAACATCCCTGCCTAGGCTGGCCTTTCACTATAATTCTTAGATCATAGCTCCCTGAGTAGCTAGGATTATAGGAATGAGCCACCAGTGCCTAGGCTGAGTCCTTTTGTCTTTGGTGACTAATTTAGCACTTCTGGTAGGGACAGTCAGCCTATGGGGTTTCGTCTCTTAGGAAGGGGTGAGTACCCAGCAGCATCTATCATGGACTTCTTTACAGCTTCCCTCTAGTGCCAGAGAGGTGATCCCTCAGGCCTCTAGATCCACTTTCCATTCAGTTCAGTACTGGGCACTGGAAAATTGGATGGATGAGACAAGATTCATTTTGGGGGGACAGCAGTAGGGTATCAACACACAGCTTCATACTCCTTTCTCATTTAGCTTTCTTGCTAAGGCTGTTTTTCTACTACTTGAGTCATACCTCCACTTCTAGCTTTTTGCTAGTTAGCTGAAGGTAAGAGTCTTTTGGCTTTGTTTGCCCAGCTATTCAAACCCTGATTTTCGTACCTCAGTTTCCTGAATAGCTATGATTATAGGTGTGAGCCACTGGTACCCAGCTGAAACAAGACTTGCTGTCAAGGAAACCTGATTTTAGTTATTATAGATACTGAGAAAACCAGTTTGTGCCAGCATGCCATAGGAATGTAGAAGATGATGCAATGTATTACTCCTGGTAGGAGGCTTCCTAGAAGAGCAGTCTGGCTGAATCATGAAGGTAAAGCAAACATTTTTAGCAGACAAGGATAAAATAGAAATTTATCTAATGGGCTATGAAGAATACTCTATAAAGAATCTGGGGGGGTGGGGGGCATTGGTGGCTCACACCTATAATCTTAGCCATTTACCAAGCTAAGATCTGAAGATCACAGTTTGAAGCCAGCCCAGGCAAGAAAAATTTGTGAGACTCATATCTCTAAATAACCACCAAAATCTGGAAAGAGAGCTGTGATTTAAGATGTGGAGCATACATAGAATTCACAAACCGTATAGACCATGATAATGACAATTTGCCTTTGAAAGTTAAAATGTGTTTGTGACTCTAGGTATCACTATTCCACAATACTATGAAATATGTAAAAAATTACATAATCACCTAATCTCAAAAAAAGTGAGAGAAGCCGGGCGCTGGTGGCTCACGCCTGTAATCCTAGCTACTCAGGAGGCTGAGATCTGAGGATCGAGGTTCAAAGCCAGCCCGGGCAGGAGAGACCGTGAGACTCCTATCTCCAATAAACCACCAGAAAACCGGAAGTGGCGCTGTAGCTCAAGTGGTAGAGCGCTCACCTTGAGCTGAAGAGCTGAGGGACAGCGCCCAGGCCCACAGTTCAAGCCCCACGGCCAACAAAAAAAAAAAAAAAGTGAGAGAAGGGATGGGTTAAGAGAGGTGGGTGACAATGTTGTCAGACACTTTGTACTCATATACTGTTTTGTAGAATGGGAACTTCTTTGTACAACTACATAAAGATTAAAAAAAAAAAAAAAAGAGGCCAAGCACCGGTGGCTCACATCTATAATCCTAGTTACTTAGGAAGCTGAGATCTGAGGATATGGTTTAAAGCCAGCCCCGGCAGGAAAGCTGAGACTCTTATATCCAATAAACCACTAGAAAACTGGAAATGGCACTTTGGCTCAAGTGGTAGAGTGCTAGCCTTGAGCTGAAGAGCTGAGGGATAGTGCCCAAGCCCAGAGTTCAAGTCCCATGACTGACAAAAAAAAAAAAAAAAAAAAGAGGTAGAACATAGCCTTGAGTCAAAAAAAGAAAAAAATGTTCAGGGACAGTGTCCAGGCCCTAAGTTCAAGTTCTAGGACCAGCACACACACACACACACACACACACACACACACACACACACACACACACACACACACACACACACACACACACACACACACACACACAGAATTTGAAAAGTGTCCCTGTTGGGTAGAGTGAGAAAGGCAGGGTAGGGGAAAAGTCTAAGAGTGGACCACATAGGGCTTTGGATGCCCAGTTGAAGAGTTTGGACTCTGCCCTATTACTGACTAGAGGCCAATAGATCCCTTAAGTGGTACCTCATTCCAGCCTGCCAAAAAAGGCCTTCCCACATCCCAAGCATCCTCATCCTGAACAGATATGCTTCACTTTTTTCTTCCTTCCTTCCCTCCTTCCTCCCCTTCCTCCCTCCTTCCTCCCCTCCCTCCCTCCTTCCTCCCCTCCCTCCTTCCTTCCTTCCCTCCCTCCCTCCCTCCCTCCCTCCCTTCCCTTCTTTCTTTCTTTTCTGTCAGTTGTGGGGCTTGAACTCAGGGCCTAGGCACTGTCCTTGAGCATCTTTGTGCTCAAGGCTAATGCTCTACCACTTGAGCCATAGCACCACTTCCATTTTTCTGGTGTTTTATTGGAGATAAGAGGATTCTCACAGGGACTTTCCTGTCTGGGCTGGCTTTGAACCATGATACTCAGAGCTCAGCCTCCTGAGTAGCTAGGATTATAGGCATGAGCACCAGGACCTGGCACACTTCATTTCTTATTCTTCCTTTCTACAAGTCAGGTACCACTTCCAGAATCCACATAGGTTAAGATGGGTCTAAGGACCTCCCCGTGGGCACCATGTGCCAACAAATCTTTGCTTCTGTCCACAGGGAGCCTGGTGGATTTCCTCAAGACCTCCTCAGGCATCAAGTTGACCATCAACAAACTACTGGACATGGCAGCTCAAGTAAGGGGATTGGTGAGGGGCTGGGAATGTGTACAGGCCAGTGGGGTGAGGACTGCTCACCTATATTTGTCCTGTAGATTGCAGAAGGCATGGCATTCATTGAAGAGCAGAACTACATCCATCGTGACCTAAGGGCTGCCAACATCTTGGTGTCTGACACCCTAAGCTGTAAGATCGCAGACTTCGGCCTAGCACGTCTGATTGAAGACAATGAGTATACAGCCAGGGAGGGTAGGTGTGGGCTAGGAAGGAGGGCTGGAGCCTGCAGGGTCTGACCAGGCAGACCCAGGAGACCTTACTCTGTGTCCTTCCAGGGGCCAAATTTCCCATTAAGTGGACAGCACCAGAAGCCATTAACTACGGGACCTTCACCATCAAGTCAGATGTGTGGTCTTTTGGGATCCTGCTGACAGAGATTGTCACCCATGGCCGCATCCCTTACCCAGGTCAGTACCATGGGGAAGAAATTGAAAGGTCCATGAATCTGGAAGGTCAGAGAATCTGTTCTCCCACTCACTGGGTCCCAGGCTCAGAATCTGAAACTTTTAGCTCGCTTCTCCTCTATCCTCTCAGGGAAATGATTTCAACATCAAGACTGGCTTCCTGCTCTGGATCTGTATCTTCTTCTCCCTTCAGTAACCCAGTTCTGGTACTGGCTGCCTAGAATGGTAGAAGTGGATGTAGCCTCTGTGGCCAGAGGCCTGCTCTTGTGTGTGTGTGTGTGTGTGTGTGTGTAGCTGTCTCCAAACTATTTTTGGCTCAAGGCTCTACCACTTGAATCACAGCTCCACTTCTGTTTTTTGTTTGTTTGTTTGTTTTGTTTTGCTCATTAACTGGAGGTTAGAGTCTCATGGACTTTCCTGCCTGGGCTGGCTTCAAATGGTGATCCTCAGATCTCAGCCTGCTGAGTAGCTAGGATTACAGGCATGAACCACTGGAGCTCCTCGCTCTCTCTCCCCCTCTCCCTTTCCTTCTCTCTCTCTCTCTTTTTCTCTCTCGCATTCTCTCTCTCTTCCCTTTCTTCTTTCCTCTCCCTCTCCCTGACTTTTTCTCTCCTCTCTCTCTCCTCTCTTTCTCCTTTCCTTCCCTCCTTCCTTTGGTGGCAGTACTGGGGCTTAACCTTAGGGCCTCATGCTCTTGCTTAGCTTTTTTGCTCAAGACTGGTATACTACCACTTTAACCACACTTCCACTTACAGCCTTTTGCTGGTTAATTAGAGATAGGAGTCTCATGATTTATTTTCCTGGACTGGCTTTGAACTACAATCCTTAGATCTCATTGCTAGGAAGCTCTGGGGAAAGAAGACACCATACTTGGTATGAGAGAGAGAGAGAGTGTGTACTGAGGCTTGAACCCAGGGAGAGAGAGAGAGAGAAAGAGAAAGAGAGAGAGTGTGTACTGGGGCTTGAACTCAGGGCCTGGGTGCCATAATAACAATAAAATTTATAAAACAAAAAGAGGAAAACAGGTAGAAAAAATGTGATAAATGGCAGTTGACATATGACATTGGGGTCAGGGACAAGATGAGGAAAAGCAGAGACAGTGAACTTCATCTGTTCTAGCCGATGATCCCCATTAAGATATGGAAGGGTCCAAAACACAGATCTTTTATTTTTTTTTTCCAAGAGAAGCCAAAAGTTGATGTTTTAGAAAACTCGGCTTACTTCTAAATATATGTGATTCAATTTGTTTTACAATAACAAATGAACCAAACTGAAGTGTGTGGGCTATATATAGGCTGAGTTTAGTCTCTGGCTGAACACTTGACTCTAGCTACAGATGTTTGGTACTCTGGCCTCCATCTTTTGATGACCTAATTTTAAAGTATGGGAGACCCAAAGGTAAATGCCTCACAGAAGCCAGGCCTGGGTAAAAGGGGAGGAGTTGTCTCTTTTGACCAAGGTCTAGTCCCAAGCTTTGCAGAAATAAAACTAGTTTGCCAGGAACAAAGTTGAGTCTTTGGGGACCATTTGCCTTTGTCCTCTCTCAAGAGACTAAAGGAGAAACCAGTGGTTGCATGGGTAATTGAGGAACATCTGTGTTATTGTTATCACCACTCTGTTCCTCAGAGCAGCTCTTCTGAGATCTATAGGACAGAAGCTCGTTCTGCAGTACCTTGAAACAACCAAAACCTATTTTATCTGGGTCATGGTGTACGTGTTGGGGTAGGGAGATGGGTGGACCTTCTCAGCCCAAGGCAGAGTCTACTCTGCTGGAGCCTAGGGTCAATCTGGTGTCTTGATGCACATCTGATGTACCAAGTGTCAAAGCTAGAGGTGTCCTACCATGGGTATACCCTGGCTATGGGCTCCCTGAGTCCTAACCACTCCATCATTCTCTTCACAATAATTACAGATACCTGTTATGAAGGATCTCCTGTCCAGCCACTATACCTAGTACAGGTGTGTGTGTGCATGTCTGTGTCAGGACACTATACTTGGTACTTGAGTGTGTGTGTGTGTGTGTGTGTGTGTGTACTGGGGCTTGAATTCAGGGCCTGGGTGCCCTGTTATCAAGGATAACATTCTACAGCTCTACCGCTTGAGCCACACCTCCACTTCTGTTTTGTTGTTTTTTGCTGGTCAATTGGAGCTAACACGCTCACAAACTTCCCTGCCTGGGCTGCTTAAAACTTCAATCCTTAGATCATAGCCTCCTGAGTAGCTAGGATTACAAGTGTAAGCCACCAGCATCCAGCCATACTTGGTGCTTTATGTCACTATCTCACTTGCATCTTATAACCACTCAGAAAATCTACTTTCCAGACGTGGAAACTGAGGCTTACAGAAATGTCTCAGTTTGGATTCTAGAGCTAAATGTGTTGTTGAAGATATAATGTATGGGGCTGGGAAGGTGGCTCAGTAGTAGAGCGCTTGCCTTGCATGCCTGAGGCCCTGGGTTCGATTCCTCAGCACCACATAAGCAAAAAGAAAAAAGCCGGAAGTGGCACTGTGGCTCAAGTGGTAGAGTGCTAGCCTTGAGTTGAAGAGCTGAGGGACAGCGCCCAGGCCCAGAGTTCAGGCCCCACGATCGGACCCCCCCCCCAAAAAAAAGATATAATGTATATCAAAAAAGATATAATGTATATCAAATGGTAAGGTACTTCAAATGGACTGCCATCCAGGAGGTTCTGCCAGTGTGGGCTATCATGGATGAAGACCAGTGTCTGTGCGGATTAGTCTTCACAACATTTCATTAAATATTCTGCATATCACCTATGTTATTTGGGTTTCTGCTAAAGTCAACTTAAAAAGAGGAAATGGCGGGCTGGGAAGGTGGCTCAGTGGTAGAGCGCTTGCCTTGCATGCATGAGGCCCTGGATTTGATTCCCCAGCACCACATAAGCAAAAAGAAAAAACACCAGAAGTGGCGCTGTGGCTCAAGTGGTAGAGTGCTAGCCTTGAGCTAAAGAGCTGAGGGACAGCGCCCAAGCCCAGAGTTCAGGCCCCACGACCGGACCCCCCCAAAAAAAAAAAAAAAAGAGGAAATGGCTGGGAATGTGGCTTAGTGGTAGAGTACTTGCCTAGCATGCATGAAGGCCTGGGTTTAATTCCTCAGTACCACAAAAACAGAAAAAGCTGGAAGGGGCACTGTGCTAGTGGTAGAGTGCTAGCCTTGAGCAAAAGAACTCAGGCCCTGAGTTCAAGCCCCAAGACTGGCAAAAAAAAAGGAAATGCTTCTTTTGGCTCACAGTTTCAAGGATCTGTTTATTTGGGTCTGTGGTCAGGCAGCATTTCATGTTGAGGAGCAAACTGCTCAACTTATGGCAACCAAGAAATAAAGTGAGGCAGAGAGGGGCTGTGGTCCCAGTATGGCTCTCAAGGGTAGGTCCCAATAATCTAACTTCCTCCCACTAGACTCCACCCACTAAAGGTTCCCTGGCTTCCCACTGGGTTGGGAACCAGACCTTTAACACATAGATCTTTGGAGGACATTCAAGGTACAAACTTTGCCTAGGGATCTCCAAAGCCTGAAGACTTGATGACTTTTCTCCCATCAACCTCCAGGGATGACCAATCCTGAGGTGATTCAGAACCTGGAGCGAGGCTATCGAATGGTGCGTCCTGACAACTGTCCAGAGGAGCTGTACCACCTCATGATGATGTGCTGGAAGGAACGCCCAGAGGAGCGGCCCACCTTTGACTACCTGCGCAGTGTGCTGGAGGACTTCTTCACAGCCACAGAAGGCCAATATCAGCCTCAGCCTTGACAGATCTAGCTGCCTGGGGCCCTTCCCCTGTCTTAACACCCTAGTTTGGAGAGGTGGAGCTTTTGTGCCATACCAGTGGGACCTATGCACATCTGGACTGCACATGACTCTTGCCTATGTGCAACACACACACACACACACACACACACACACACACACACACACACACAATCTTGTGTCTTTTACACATATCCCCTGGTTGTGTGGGCTCTTCACATGCATCTTCTATGTGTGGGACCCACGCATGTATGTCTTAGACATTGTCTAAAATGTCTCTGAATCCTCCTGTTTCCCAAGACAGAGAGAGAGGAGAGGCTACGACTGATTCCTGCTTCTGCCACCAGTGTCTTTCCTCAGGTCATCTAGAAGCTCTTTGTAAGCTGGGATCTTTCCTAATGCCTCTGTGTGCCCTACCTCTGTGCCCGGCACACACACCAGGAGCTCAATAAATGTCTGTTCATAAAGGCTCTGCATCTCTTGGCTGCACTCCACATATTTTTCTTTTGGGGAAAAGTAGGGTTCAGAAGATGGAAATTTGGAAATTCTGACTTGGGATATGAGAAGGGATGAATGGATGCCTAGGTTTTTTTCCAGCCCTGATGCTTCTGAGGCCTAAAAGGCTTACCCTGTAACTCTGCTGTATGAACTCTGTAAACCCCTTCTTATGGAACAGTGCTCTTCTTCCCTCCCCAGAGAATTCAGGGCAACGTTTACTAGGAACCTTCATATATGGGAAATAGTTTCTTTTTTCTTAATTTTTAAAATTTTACTTTTGTGTGTGTGTCCCAGTACTGGGGCTTAAATTTAGGCCCTTACACTTTTTTTTCTTTTTTTCTTCTTTGCTAGTCCTGGGGCTTGTGAACTCAGAGCCTAGGTGCTGTCCCTGAGCTTCTTTTGCTCAAGGCTAGCACTCTACCACTTGAGCCACAGCACCACTTCCATGTTTTTTCTGTGTATGTGGTACTGAGGAATCAGACCCAGGACTTCATGCATGCTAGGCAATAACTGAGCCACATTCCCAGCCCCTAGGGACTTACACTTCCACTTGGATTTTTTTGCTGGTACTATACACTTGAGCCATAGCCCCACTTCTAGCTTTTTGCTAGTTAATTGGGAATAAAAGTCTCATGAACTTTTCTGCCTGGTCTGTGTTTGTATCATGAACCTCAGGTCTCAGCTTCCTGTGTGTTATAGGCATGAGCCACCAATGCCTGGCTATACCAGCTTCCAGCTTGCTTGCTTGCTTCCAGCTTTCTTTCTTTCTTTCTTTCACCTCAGGTCTCAGCTTCCTGTGTACCTAGGATTATAGGCATGAGCCACCAATGCCTGGCTATACCAGCTTCCAGCTTTCTTTCTTTCTTCCTTTCTTTCTTTCTTTCTTTCTTTCTTTCTTTCCTTCTTTCTTTCTTTCTTTCTTTCTTTCTTTCTTTCTTTCTTTCTTTCTTTCTTTCTTTCTTTCTTTCTTTCTTTCTTTCTTTCTTTCTTTCTTTCTTTCTTTCTTGTCAGTTGTGGGGCTTGAACTCAAGGCCTGGGCACTGTCCCTGAACCTCTTTGTGCTCAAGACTAGCACTCTACCACTTGAGCCATGGTGCCCCTTCTGGTTTTTGAGTGATTAATTGGAGATAAGAGTCTAACACACTTTTCTGCTCCAGCTCTCTTTGAACCATGATCCTCAGATCTCAGCTTCCTTGTAGCTAGGATTACAGGCATGAGCCACCAGTGCTTGGCTAATACCAGCTTTTTTAAAGTAGACTAAATTAGCTAATTTACAAAACTGAGGAGAGTTTATATATATCTTCATATTTCTTTCTGCCTTTTCTTGAAAAAAAAAAAAAGCTGGCTACCTGTCTTCTTGGAGTTGAGGAGTGGGCATCTCATTCAGGTGAGCATTAACTCTCCCTCTGTAGGAGTCCCCTCCACTCCCAGACCAGGAAACCAAGTGTTAGTAACTATGTATCATCAATATGTGCTGTTGTTTTTATAATAAAGAGGAAAATTAAAGGTTTTTTGACATCTATAGTTTGATAAAGAGAAAAAAATTAAAGATATCTGAACATGGTAATGTGTTTGACAAAGAAAAGTTTTTTCCTTCTTTCCTCCCCCACATTCTTTCCTTCCTTTCCTCTTTCCCCATTTTTCCTTTTGTTTTGTTGTTGTTGTTGGTCATAGGGCTTGAACTCTGGGCCTGGGTGCTGTCCCTGTACTCTTCAGCTCAAGGTGAGCGCTCTGCCACTTGAGCCACAGCACCACTTCCAGTTTTCTAGGTTTATTGGAGATAAGAGTCTCAGGGACTTTCCTGCCCAGTCTGGCTTTGAACCATGATCCTCAGATCTCAGCCTCCTGAGTAGTTAGGATTACAGGTGTGAGCCACCAGCACCCGGCTTCCTTTCTTTCTTTGTTTTGTTTTGTTTTGTTTTTGATGCTGAGTGCTACCACTGACCCAGGCCTTCAGTTCTTGTTTTGCTTTTGGAGACAAGGCCTTAAACTGGAAATCCTCTTGTCTCAACCTCTTTTTTTTTGGTCAGTCGTGGGGCCTGAACTCTGGGCCTGGGCACTGTCCCTCAGCTCTTCAGCTCAAGGCTAGCACTCTATTACTTGAGCCACAGCACCATTTCCAGCTTTTTCTGTTTATGTGGTGCTGAGGAATCAAACCCAGGACCTCATGCATGTGAGGCAAGCACTCTACCATTAAGCCACCTTCCCAGCCCCTCAACCTCTTGAATGCTGAGATTGCAAGACAATGCCACTATGCCCGGTTCATATTTCTTTTGTGTGTGTGTGGGGGGGGGGTGTTGGTCCTGAGGCTTGAAATAGGACCTGGGCACTGTCCCTGAGCTTTTGCTCAAGGCTAGTGCTCTACCACTTGAGCCACAACCCCACTTCCAGCTTTTTGGTGGTTAATTGGAGATTGAGAGTCTCAGACTTTCCTCCCTGGGCTGGCTTTGAACTGTGGTATTCAGATCTCAGCCTCTTGAGTAACTAGGATTATAGGTATGAGCCACCAGCTCATGGCTTCATATTTCTTTTCTTTTCTTTCTCCTCTCCTCTCCATCCCTCCAGTCCTGGGGCTTGAACTCAGAGTTTGGGCACTGTCCCTGAGCTTCTTTTGCTCAAGGCTAGCACTCTACCACTTAAACCAACATTTTCTGTCTATGTGATACTGAAGAATTGAACCCAGGACTTGATGCACTTTAGGCAAGCACTCATCACTAAACCACATTCCCAGCCCCATGGCTTGACATTTCTTTCTTTCTTTTTTCTTTCTTTCTTTTTTTTTTTTTTTGTTTGTTGTGGGGCTTGAACTCTGGGCCTGGGCGCTGTCCCTGAGCTTCTTTTGCTCAAGGCTAGCACTCCACCTCTTGAGCCACAGCGCCATTTCTGGCTTTTTCTGTTTATGTGGTGCTGAAGAATCAAACCCAGGGCCTCATGCATGCAAGGCAAGCACTATACCACTGAGCCACCTTCCCAGCCCCTGTATTTCTTTATGGAAGCAAAAAGGCCAAGTTTTAAAATATGTGAACAAATTTAGAGCAGCACCTGTTACCAATGAAAAACTGAGAAGTACCTAAAATGCCCAGATGCAGTAAGATAAATGAACAAATTATATTATTATCACACAATGGGCTATAAAAATATGCAAAGAACATCTGAGTCATAATAATATAAACACAGTCACTCACCTACCTGCCTTATGAGCCTTGCTCTGCACTTTTCAAAATGTTACCACACCATGATCTCATTGCTTCCACACCCCTCCCTCTTGTTTTGGACACTGTGTACAGCAGGTAAACTTTGCTCTCTTATCCTCACCCTTTTTCAGAGAGAGAAATGGAGCCCTAGAAAGGTTAAGCAAAAACTGCAGAAGGTCAGTTAAAAAAGCAGCAACACAGAACTGGGAATAGTTTGCTCTTTTTTTTTTTTTTGGATCTGGTCATGGGGCCTGAACTCTGGGTCTGGGCACTGTCCTTCAGCTCTTCAGCTCAAGGCTAGCGCTCTACTACTTGAGCCACAGCACCACTTCCAGCTTTTTTCCTTTTGCTTATGTGGTGCTGAGGAATCGAACCCAGGGCCTCATGCATGCAAGGAATGCACTCTACCACTGAGCCACCTTCCCAGCCCCAAGTTTGCTCTTTTGTATGCTAACACAACCTAACCTTAGATCTTATGTTACCTTATAGCTAAAGGTCCAAATGTAGTCCCAAGTGAGTAACACAATAACATTTAAAGAGAGAAAAGGAATCTGGGTTTGGTGGCTCATGCTATTTAGGAGCCTGAGATTTGAGGATCCTGGTTTGAAGTCAGCCTGGCAGGAAAGTCTGTGAGACTCTTATCTCCAATTAACCACCAGAAAACCAAAAGTGGCACTGTAGCTCAAAGTGGTAGAGAACTAGCCTTGAGCAAAAAGAGCTCAGAGATGGTGCCCAGGCCCCGAGTTCAAGCCCCAGGACTGATTTTAAAAAAAAGTGAGAGATAGAAAAGGGCCAGGTATGGTGGTATACTCCTGTAATCTCAGCACTCAGGAGGCAGTCAGGAGGATCATTTGAGCTCAGGAGTTTAAGATACAACTTAGTGAAACACCTGTCTCAAGAGGGGAAAAAGGCATAAAAATGTATCTTATTGTCTGTAGGACTACAGATAAACAGCTAATTTACCACAACTGTTTGGTACATTGTAAGTGCTCACTAAATATTAAAGTTATTGTAGCTGCTATTTTAAAGCTCACAATTAGGCTTTTTCGTCTTTCAGCTTCTAGGTATGACATGTTTATGACTGATGCATGGTTCTAGGATCAAGGGCAGTGGTTCTCAAAGGGAGAGCTGGTAATCATTTTACATCCCAGCTAGCTCATTCCCTGCAAGGCACTTGGCAAAGTCTAGAGACGATTCTGCTTGTTCCAGAATGAGTGTGTATGTGCTACTGACATCTTAAGGGGAAAGAGGCCAAACTGATAAATGTCTACAATACATAGGGCAGACCATAACAATGAATTATCACAAAATGTCAATGGTGTCAAAGTCGAGAAACCTTCTCTTAGTAACGGGGCAATTCCATTTTTTCTCCACCCTCCAAAGGCTCCTCAGTCGGCTTGGGTTAGGCCTGCTTTGGGATTAGAAAGGCTTTTAGCTAGATGCCTCTGACTCACACTTTTAAATCTAGCTATTCAGACCTGAGGATCAAGGTTCAAAGTCAGCCCAGGCAGACAAATCAAGGGACTCAAATACTAGAGTGCTAACCTGGCACAAAAAAAAAAAAAAAAAGATTAGGGATAGTGAACACTCCCTGAATTCAAGCCTCAGGGCTGGCACACTCACACAAAATACACCCCCCCTCCCCAAACAACAACAACCACACCCACAAACAAAAACCCTCCGCCAGAGCTACTGTCTTATTGTCCGGACTATTGAACTATTATTGGTAAAGCTCATTACTTGGCCCACAGCAGGCTGTGGACAATTTTTTTCCCTTTGTTATTCCATT